ACTCTTGCTCAGTGCCTTTCTAAACCCTGTTCTCCTTAGTTAAGCTTCACTGCTTCCATCAGCCTTTTGGAACCAGCCTTCCCCAGCCAGATCTCATTCCACTGTTATTTCTGTCCTCCCAGCTAGTTATTAGTCCTCAATGGACCATTTCTAAGACTTCTTTGTAGTCATATCCACCCCACCCCTAGTGTAGTGCTAGGCACATAGTGGGCTCTCAGTGAGTCATGGCTGCTCAGGTGATGCATAATGTGTTTCTCCTCTTCTCTCCAGGTTGATCTGTTCCAGCTACAGGTGAACACTCTACGACGTTATAAACGACACTACAAATTGCAGACCAGACCAGGCTTCAATAAGGCCCAGTTAGCAGAAGTAGGTAGACAAAATTGCACTCTCCAAAGAGGGAGCCATTGTGCCTCTGATGGTGACCTTGATTCTCCCTCCTGCTCTGTTTGCCTGTGGATCATAATCCCCTCCATAGCTCTGGAAGCAGCTTTCTAGTCCATCTTTTGCACAATTTAGAATCCCACAGCTTAAAACTTAGAAAGGCTCAGATTTTTATAAAAGAAAATCAAGAGAGAGGAAAGTACTTGCTTAAACTCACAGCAAATTGGTGTGATTCCAGAATTGAGCCTGGAACCTCAGGACTCCTGATTCTAAGCCCTGAATGTTCTTTTGTTTGTTTATTTGCTTGAATCTTGTTTTCCAAGATTCTTTATAAATATGGTCCTTCCTCCATATCAGATGTGTCAGATTAATCATCTTAGAACCTTCACTCATGTCCTATAGGAGCTATTTTTCTTCTTTTTGGTTTTTTTCCTTGATTTCTTCTACTCTGATGTTGGTAATGGAAATATTTATTACAAGAATGGAGCCCAAGAAAGGTTTCTCCTGCCCTGAGTTAACATAGTTTGGATGGTGGAAAATGCTCCATTGGCTATTATTTTAATATAATGACAGCCTGGCTTGATACTTCTGTCCTGTTGGCACTAGTGTGGGTACTCTCTCATCCCCCTTTTCTGCTTATTGTAGAAAATTTGGAAAATGGAGAAAAGAAAAATACAACCCTACTATCCAGAGATAACCACTCTATAGTTCTTTCTCTCTCTTTTTTCTGTCCTAGTCACTTGGTCTATTCAGAGATTCCCTAAAGGCTCACAGCCCCACTGTTTTTGTCTTTCCTTTAGAGGTATCTTGCTGATCCATCATTTTTTCTTTAACTTCTCCTTCACCAGCATCCAGATAAAACATAGGGGCACACAAGCCTTTCCTACTTTAAGACTGCATTCACCACTTGCCAGTATCCACCCCTGGTGGAAGAGAGGATAAGGTGGGGCAAGAGGAGACCTGTTCTCAGGACTTGTAAAATAAAGCAAAGTTTCAGGAATAGAGAGTAAATGGTTCATTTTTCTTCAAATCTGGTGTGTCTTTCAAGATGAATTCTTGGGTCACACACTTACATCTCTTCAGTAGGCTACTTATTTGACATAATTTTTAAAAAGACACTTTTTTGCCAAGTACCAGAGCCTGAGAGGTTATGGTAGCAGCTGGCTAAGCAGAGCAGTCCTGGTCTCTTCATCTGTGGAGGTGACCTTGAGATCATGATGGGCAGCTGGCTGCCACTAAAATAGAAAGACTTGCATCTTGGGAGTATTGAGGATTAAAGTCCTGCTTTGGAAGCCTGGAAACCAGTCACCTAAACCCCAGGGAAAGAGGGTAGTCTGAGTTCTGTAGTGATCTTAACCCCCTCCATAGCTCTGGCAGCAACTTCCTGGTTCCTCTTTTGCACAATTTAGTCTGTGGCCCTGATTTATGCATGGTTTTTGGTGTGTTTTTTTCTTTTCTTTTTTTCTTTTTTTTTTTTTTTTGCCTCCATGTAGACTGTCAGTCGACATTTCAGGAACATACCTGTGAATGAAAAAGAGACCCTTGCCTACTTCATCTACATGGTAAAGAGTAACAAGAGTAGACTGGACCAGAAGTCAGAGGGCAGCAAGCAGCTTGAGTAAGGATGAAGCACATCTTCCAGGAATGAAGTATAATGTTTAATGCACAGGTGATATCTGCTACATTTAAGCCCATAAAGACAAGTTTTATTATAAATAAAAATGTTTGAATGATAAATACTGTAAATCTTTTTGGTCAGGAGGGTTATATTCTCCTGATTCAGCATGTGTATATGAAGACTTTCTTTTAAGGCAACTACTGGGCTGAAACAAACAAGATCATAAAAAGAATGAAAGAAAAATTATGTATTGCAGCATTTAAAACAGCATTAAGTCTGTGCTACTAGAAATGAGGGATACAAATATTTTGGTAATCACCTTATAATCCCACACTGCCACGTGTGAAATGCAGTCCCGTAATAGCGGCGGCGTACAGGTGATGGTGGAGGTGCATGAACAGACGCAAACGTGCTGGGGACGTGGGTGCCCCACCTTGTTGCAGGCTTTGATATTTATCAGCAAATCAGTTTGACCCTGGTCCCCCTCGCTGGCCCTACACCTTAGGCACAGTAGGCACTCAATCGGTATCTGTTGGCTAATTGAGCTGTCACTAATAGTGCCAGCCCTGTAACATCTGCTCCGCTCCTCCAGTTAATGAGATCTCTGCCATTTCTGTGGTTTACCACTTAACTTCTAGAGTGGGGAGGAAATCCTGATGAGCCAACAAGAGGTTTCAGCTCAAATTAGTACTTCAGGGAAGACGCATGTGCCGCACTGTATTTGTGGAGGTTCCAGAAACGCGAATGCAGAGACGCTCGCAGGAGATGCAGCCCTTGGTACACTCCTCTATGCTTCACTCTTGGAGTGAAGTTATGTATTACGACTTAGGCCATTCTCCTGGGCCATAAATGCTCTGGCAAACGGAGATGCTTAGTGGTTTAGGGCTCACTTTCAGAAGTATCAATCCATAGTTCACACTCACCAAGAAAGCTGCTAAGGACCATGTGATTCCTGCTCAGAAATCCAGCGCTGGGATAGAAAGTCTGACTGGCCTTGACACCTTGAGCTCACGGGTCAGCAACAAATTCTAGGTTTGAGCAACAAAGGTCAGTGCCGTCTGATGCTCATTTTTATGAGCAATTTGCCTCTCTTTTAGGGAGAAAGATTGCTAAAATGATTTTTTTAAGTATTATAATTACCTGATTTTTCTTTTTATGTTCAAAAGCTCAGCTTCCTCTATTTATGTCACAGCCAAAGTATCCTTTGAAAACAAAGCTTTATATCCAAAAGTCTGCTTTTCCAAAATTTTCTAATCTATGTGTTGGGGGCATAGGGTGTGGACAGGGAATGGGAGAAAGGGAAGAAAAAGATGTAGATGCTAATTTCTGACCATCTTGACATACACTGGGGTCAAAAGTATCATTTTCTTACTCGGTTTTAAATCTGAGTTCTTTCTTAAGCCTTAAATGCTAAAAGGAGCAGTGGATAGCCTGGCCTAGTAGAGAATTAAATGTCTCACAGATGGCTTCATCTCAGTACCACCACAGAGAAGTCAGAATGGAAATCCCTACTGAGCAGGGCGGTGGATTCGGGTTTGCGGAGCAGTGCCATGCTTTCTGTGGACTGGAGACAGGGCCACCACTCACTAAAACTCCGTGTGCTCCATTGCAGCACGCTTTCACCCGTGTTAAAATGCATGTCTAGCAGATGGCAGCCTTTTTAAATATGTATAAATGAATGTACATAGAACATACTCTAGACTGTGAGGGGTCTTATTTTAATACACCTGGCTGTGGATGGCACGTCAGGGTGCTCCGAGTGTTTTAGTCATTCTGATCCAATATGTATTTTAGACACTGTCTCATAGCTGAAGGATCAAGAAGGCCCAAAGGTGTGTGGCTTCTCCGGGTTTTATTCCTGAGAGGCTGAATTAGAAAGGCTTTGATGGTGTCCGACACCAAGCCCTCTTTGCCAGGGGGCTTTTTTTCTCATCAGACTGAAGTTTGAGGGCAGCCGGGCCCGTAGGCTAAGGCATTGGAAACCTGCTCTCTGGAAATGTCCCTATCTTCTTAAGAAGGTGTATCTTCTGATGTTTAAACCAATGATGGATGTGTAGGTCACATCACTGTTCTTCTAATGGCAAATCTGTTTTCCCAGTTGAGAGAGACAGCGGTATACTTCTGTAAGAGCACATGTGGGTTAGGATCCATCTGTTCATGTGTCTGTAAAAATGCTTCTGTTCCAAAGTGAAGCCCAGGGAAACTCCCCCTTCAGCCAGATGCTGTGTGCGCTTGGTCGCATGCCGTCTTTCCTCTAAAGAGAGCTACTTTTGGAAAGTGGAGATTGTGAGTATCTTTTTCACCTTGGAGACTTGTTGGGTGAAAGAAAAAACAAAGCTGTCCGAACTTCCTTTTGTCCTGTGTGCAGAAGTCTGTTCTGTCATCAGACCACTAAACCACTTGCCTTAGTCTCTTGTGCAGTCTCCATGGCTTTTCGTGGCAGGAGGCTCTGCCTGTGGGAGTGGCCGAGCCCTCCAAAGCAGCTGGGTCTGGCTGCAGGGAGCAGTGGATCTGGAAAAGCAGTGTTCGCCTTGGCTGCCTGCGTTTTCATGCCGCCTGTCAAGGACTCTTGCGCTTCTCTCCACCTGTAACATGGCAACATTGCCTTCTCTCCTCTTGGTGCTCCTGGGCAAAACTGGAATTGGAAACAGAACTGGAGTTGTCTTCTTAAATCCTGCCTCAGTTCCGGCCTGGTGTGGTTCTTCACATGCCCTAACGTTGTCACACGGAAATGCCAATATCCTGCTATTCATGTTGCTTCATTTTAAGGTGTTTAAAAATCAAACAGAAAGCTCATTATTTCAATGAACAAGCTCTTAGGTTGGCAATAACACCTGACAGTGATCACAACTGAATCCCACGAAAAATTAAGGATTCAAGACTGGCGTGAAATGAAGAGGAATTTCACTTATGTGTTCCAGCCGCCACGTTGCTAGATGTTCCTGTCATGGCTGGATATTCACTGCTGGCCTTTCGGAGACAGATTCCTAATTGTTTGCAGTTGGAATGTTGCATCTAATCTTGGCATTTCAGCTGTTTATTTTGTGGAAATTTTTCTCGTAATATCCTACAGACAACTGCCTGGTGGAAGGGAGAAGGTAAGAAAAGAAGCTCACTCCAGGGGCCTGGCCTATTGAAATAGGCTATCCCAACCCAAAGTAGCTGCTGCTGGAAGTCATCTGAAGGCTCTCAATCATTACAATGAGAAGATCTAAAAGTTGGGAAAGGGGCTTTAACTCATTCCATCCAGTCTAGCCATAGGTGCTGACATTCTGCCTACAGCCATCCCACCAAGGGTTTGAACAATCTGGGCTTAAACACCTCTGAGGACAGAGAACTCACTACCTCCTGGGGGTATCTGGTTCTATCTTTGCAAACCTCTGGCTTTTCTTTGTTCTCTGTAACTTCCATCTGAGTCTCTGCCCGGTGGGGGCCACATGGAAGAAGTTGCTCATCTTGGTCAAGGATCTAATGGCTGGCACTGTCCCGGGGCATAACAAGTGTCTTGTGAAAAGGAGCAGGTAGCAGATAGACACTTTGTTGTCCTCACTCTCCAGCCCCCTGAGTATTGGTGCATTTAGTTCCTTGTTGGAGAATGTTGAGGAAATCCCACCAGCCTGGTTCGCTCACTTGTTCTTACTGAAGCTGATCAAGGGCGTCAGCAAAGGCAGGGGTCCTATTTGCCTGATAAAAAAAACTCAAGACAGAGGAGGCCTTAGTTCTGTATTTGTCCCACAAAAATTGATGCTCACAGCACTTAGGGAAAACCTTACCTAGAAAATCTTAAAATATTGCTCTGTGTGGAATTTAAAGTTTCCATGGCTGCTGAGGGTTTGTACCTTAAGATTCCTATAAGTACTTCACATACTGTTTTTACCAAGAAAATAGCTAAGGAACCTGGGGGAGTGGAAGCACCACATATCTCAGTGTCAAAGTAGTGCCATATTTTCAAGCTAGAAAGTCCTATAAGGTTGCTGTTGTCCAATTCATTTTTAGAGATGGGGAAACTAAAATCCAAAAAACTTTGCTTGAGTCACATGGCATTCTCTGGACTAACCTCTTGTCCTGCAGCATGACTGTAATCCAGTCTAAAGTGACCTGCCTCAGACTCTTGAGACCTTGCAACTGAGTAGAGGTTCCCAAGACCAACCTGTAGAACTCAAGGTTGAGTGAATGATTAGGACTGAAGCACTCAGTTGAGTTTTGTAAAACAAATGGGAGGGGCGAACAGAACTAGCCTATAATTTAAGACTAGGATTCAAAAGTCCTGGCAGGGTTTAGTGTTGTCCTAGAATCTAAATTCTCATGAAGTGGTCTTGCTCTGTGATCTGTTAGTCAGACCTCGGCCTTTCAGGTCGTTGTTGGAGCTTGTGTGATTCACTTGGCACTGATGGTACAGACAGCTCTGTGGCCCTGTGATGCACAAGCATTCCAGCCCCTTACTGGGCTAGACAGTTGAACTAAAGGACAGGTGAGCTCGGGAACATGCCCTGGGAAGCATGGTGCTTTAGGGGTGCCTTTTTATTCCTTTCATTTTTATTGCTGACTGTTTCCAATTCATGGTTAGGAAAGGTAAAGGTGATCTGATGTTTTCAGGTAGACTGGGCAAGGTGGGACCTTTTCTTAAGGTAGAATGTCTACAATTAGTTATTTCATCTAGCTTGCATCTTAAAACAAACCCTCAGTTGCTTTCACTTAGTGAACGCATCTTTGCCAATGACAGGGTTGTACAGGATCCCTGTTTTACATTTCTATTATCCGTTACGCCCATCAGAGTGTTGGGGGTGTGGGTTTTCTTTCCATTTTGTAACTGCCTTATTGAAAAGCAAGTGCCCTTCCATTTCAAGCCTCCTCATATTGTACATGTTTCCTGCCAAGCGTGGGGGATCATTTGTATTTTAATTTTGTAATCTATGGCTCTGTACTGTTGAAAGGCTCTCAATTCTGTGGGGTCTCCTTAGTAATGTATGTGACTTTTCATGTTGCAATATCACACAGATGGGACAGCTCGACTTTCGCTCTTAATAAACGGTCTGAATGAGTAATAAGACACACTCTATTGTTCTCTTTGAATGTCCACATGAAATTCAGCTGCTTTCACTTTCTCATTTGGGCCCTGGCTACAAAGCACAGTGGTTGATGATAGTGGTCTTTCCTCCCAGCTCCAAGTACTAGCTGCTCCACTCCCCGATCCAGTCCCAGGGCACACCGAGTGAGTGTAGATCAGAACATAAGATTGGGCCCTGGGTCGAGTCCTAAATGCTGTGTAGCATACCAGACACCCTGGCAAATAGCTTCCCTCTCTGGGCCTTTAGTTGTCCATCTGTAAAATGAGAGTCCTAAGTAAACCGGATGGAGAATTGCAAATGGAAATTATGCAGGGGGCATGCTGCAAACTGGAAAACTCAGGTCCCTTCGGAGGGCAGCCACTACCCAGCTCCAGCCCACTGTTGCCATGTGGGAATGCCAGTTCTTGCAGTTTGACAAGAGGAGCTGGAAATAGAGACTTTTATGTAAATAGCCCAATGTTTAAATGTCCCAAAATTATTTTTAACAGCACATCTTCTGAGTGCTTGTTAGACATCTCTGTCTTCCTCCTCACCTGCCAAGCCGTCTACTGAACCAGAATCGGCCTTTTAATGAAGTCCCCAGGCAGGATGGGGTTACCTGACTGAGCTTTACTTGTGAAGGTACCGGCCCAGTGGGATGAAGCCCTTGCCCAGCCAAGCCTCAGACTCTGGTCTTTCACGTCACATGTCACTAGTGCCATTTTAGCACACCTTTGTCCTCAGTAGAATGAAAGGAAAGAAATGCAACGTGTTTTAGCATATTACCTAGAAGTAATACATGTTAGCCCTAAAACTATAAATAGCACCAAAATTTACAGTGTCCTTCCTCTTTCCTCCTTCCCTCCCATTCTACTCCCCTGCCAGTAGTGTAGAGGATGACTTTTCAGGAGGCATTTGGGGGTAGGGAGGGTGGGAGTCTTGGCTACCACTGGGATTGATGATGGATTGTTGCTGAAGGCCATCACTTAGAGCAGTGGTTCTCAACCTTCTGGCCCTTTAAATAGTTCATGTTGTGACCCAACCATAAAATTATTTTCGTTACTATTTCATAACTGTAATGTTGCTACTGTTATGAATCGTAATGTAAATATCTGATATGCAGGATGGTCTTAGGCGACCCCTGTGAAAGGGTCGTTCGACCGCCAAAGGGGTCGCGACCCACAGGTTGAGAACCACTGACTTAGAGGCTCCCTGAGTTGATTTCCTTCAGAAAGCAAAGGAAGTTCCAGTTTTCATAGTGTGTTGCCTCTTCGTTTGAGGTATAACGTAATTCATTGTTTCCACTCCCCTGTCTGCTGCCCTCCCATTTGTTACATGTCTAACCTGCCCTGTCCTCTAACCCATCACACACTGAACCGCTGAGAAGTGCTTTGTCCCCAAGCTTACCCACACAGGCTGAGTCCTGCTGGAGCCGACCTCTGAGGGTCCACAGACATCAGTTGTCATAGAAGAATGAGCCCACATCCTAATGTACCATTAGAACAGAAGTTTCACGGGGAGCCAGACACCCTTTTTTCAGAATAGACCTTTAGAATATTGAATATCAGATCATCTGAGGTTCAGGGTTTTTTAATGTGTGGCAGTTGCTTTCCCATCAGAATCTCCTAAGAACTCTTACAATGCACTTCCTGGGCCCCCATCCCCATTCTCAGAATAGAAAGCTCAGAGGCTGAAGTCCAGGAATACAAATTTAATTTGCCCAGGTAAGACTCAAGCCCAAACCTCGGCTCCAGAGGTTTCCCAATCCAGCAGCTTCAACCTCATCTGGATTGTGGTTGAAAGTTCCCAGTGAGACCTACTAAATGAGATTCTTCTCAAGTGGGGCCCAGGAAACTATCTGTACAAAATCTGGGGAATCTGTATGTACATCCAGGTTTAGAGAGCACTGAGCCCAACACCCTAAGTACAGTGATGGCGAACCTATGACATGCGTGTCAGAGGTGACACGCGAACTCATTTTTTTGGTTGATTTTTCTTTGTTAAATGGCATTTAAATATATAAAATAAATATCAAAAATATAAATCTTTGTTTTACTATGGTTGCAAATATCAGAAAGTTTCTATCTGTGACACGGCACCAGAGTTAAGTTAGGGTTTTTCAAAATGCTGACACGCTGAGCTCAAAAGGTTCGCCATCACTGCCCTAAGACCTAGGGAGAGAAAGTAGCTGTTCAACCTCAAACAGCTCTGAAGTGTCAGAGCCTGAGCAGAGTGACCTGCACAGCCACAAAGACAATCAAGATGAACCACTCAAATGGATGGTCTTCAGTCTGCATAAAACTAGAGTGAAAATACCCTGGCTGGTGTGCTCAGTGGTTAGAGTGTCGGCCTTCACACCAAAGGGTCGCAGGTTTGATTCCCAGTCAAGGGCACATACCTGGGTTGCAGTTTCAATCCCTGGCCCTGTCGGGGCGTGTGCGGGAGGCAGCCCATCGATGTGTTGTGTCTCTCTTTCTCTTCCTCCCTTCCACTCTCTAAAAATTAATTGAAAAAATATCCTCAGGTGAGGATTAACAAAAAAACCAGAGTAAAAATAATCCACAGTTTCCAGCACAGTACCTGGCATGGAGGGGGACACAGTTAATGTCTGCATTGAATCTTCCATTTATGTAACAGTTTTTTGGTTTCTAAGTATTTCATATCCAGAAATAATAAGAGCTGCAAGTGCAGTATGCATGCATGCCAGAGATGTTTCTAGTCTTACAGTTTGCATTGATTCATTCAATCTCACTACAATCATATAAAATAAGAACTGTTATTAACTCCAGTTCACAGAGGTGTGAATGCAGAGGCTGAGGAACTTGCCCAAGTAGCAATGACAGCTAGAGGCACTCCGGGATTGGGACACTTGTCAACCCCACCATCAAAGAACTCGGGAATGTCACGCTTTGAAGCAGTGCAGCCACAACAGTCACCCCTGTCCCCCCATCAACTGGATTTACTAAACTTTAATGAGGGACTCCTAGAAGTTACTAAGACTATAGTTAGGAAATTTAATAGGGTTTAATGGAGGTTAACAAGGTACATCCAACTTCCCAGCCAGGTTTTAACTTACCAGAGCTGTACAGAGATTAACAAGCCCAGGAGGTGTGAAGGCACCTGCATGATTTAATGGGGTTAATGAAACTGTCAGAGGTTGGCTGAGAGGGACAGAGCTGGAGCACACTGCTGTTAACAGTCAATCTGGTTGAAGTCAACATTTAGGAAACAGCTGAAGCCTGACCTGCCCTGTCCTGGGTACCCAGGGTAGCAAGTAAGAGAAGGCCGCAACCAAGATGCCAACCATGGCTAGATCTGTTGGTGGGATCTGGAGTTTTACTGTCTCCTCTGTGCTTTTTTGGGGATTGTCTAAATTGTTTATCATGGGCCTGAGCCATTTTCACCAAATCTATAAAATAGCAAAGCAATTTTTTTAAGTGCCTTCAAAACACATACTTTGCTTGCACAGTTTAAGTTACATATTCCTAAAACCTGTAGAAAACAGTAAGAGTAGTAAAAAACAATAATACAAACCTTAAATTCAGGCAGCACTTGATTCCCTGGGTATTGTCACACGTTACAAAATAATGATACTCAGGTCACACTGGTGAGGGGGGAAGTCAAAGCAAATCCTCATCTTCTGCCTCCCAGACAGTGCTGCTTTTTCACTGAGCACTGAGGTACCTATGTGGTAGGTATTGTGTTAATCACTTCACATGCCTTAGGACCCTACGAATACAATTATGCTCTTTATACTATAAATACGGAAACAGACGTTTGTAAGGTGAAATGGCTTGTCCAAGGTCATTAGAAAGTGGTGGGGAAGAAAGTCAAAGGCATGTCTATCTGACCCCAGAATCCACTGTGCCCTGCTGCCTTCTAAATCGGATAAGCTGGTATCTCACGGGAGTATTGTTTAGAACAGTGGTCGGCAAACTCATTAGTCAACAGAGCCAAATATCAACAGTACAACGATTGAAATTTCTTTTGAGAGCCAAATTTTTTAAACTTAAACTATATAGGTAGGTACATTGTTATTAACTTAATTAGGGTACTCCTAAGGCTTAGGAAGAGCCACACTCAAGGGGCCAAAGAGCCTAGCTCTTTGATGTTGTGACCCAACCATCACAACTGTGCTATTTATAGTTTTAGGGCTAACATGTATTACTCAGATGATCTGATATTCAATATTCTAGAGCCAAGGCCATAGAAACTAGCATGTGGCTCGCGAGCCGCAGTTTGCCGACCTCGGGTTTAGAACAAGGAAGAACTGGAAACAACCTCAACTAATAGGGGACTGCTTTTAAAAAGATTATACTTTTACATTATATACTTACAATAATTACTATATATAAATTATATATTATAATACATAGTATTATAAGTATATATGTCAAAATTAGAAAATAACATTTAATGACATTCTTAGTTTAAAAATACTAGATATGTATACTATATATGTATACAAATTATATTAATATGAGTATATACGATGTGGATATGCATAGTTACATCTGTGTATACAGGGTGTCCCCCCCCCCAAAAAAAATGTACACACTAACAGCTGATAGCTCCATTGATGTTTCTTTTCAGATTTAACTCACTATGCCTTTATAATTATTCAAAATGTGTACACATTTTTTGGGACACCCTGTGTACATACACACACAGAGCTGTATTTAATGTGACTATGATCATATTGTAGGCAAATCAACGCATCTATTTACCAACCCCGTGTACAGCCATACTCTATCTTCTGTATCTATAAAATTCAGAGAAAAGGTAAAATAGGAAGGAAGAGACTTTCTGAAAATCAAGAGAGCTTCCTGGAAGAAGAGGCTCCCAAGCAGGCCCTTTAAGGAAATGGCAGGTTAGGCAGGAGACTGAGGATGAGGGAAGTCCAGTCCGGAGCGGAAAGCCTCAGAGGCCAGAGTGAGGAGCTTGACCTTGGGAGTCACCAAACCTACAACCATTAAAAACAAAGCCAGACAACGAAATGTGA